TAAAGCGGAATAATACTAAATCACCAATCTATCTCAACCATACCCCTTTCGTATAATCACCTCCCTGATAATTTTGCGTTGAGACATTTTGAAAATGTCGGACTTGTTATTTCCTTTGTTTTTACCATGAATGGAAAAGAACTGGCGTGAAACAATTATTCTCAGATCTGTTCGAGAAAGACTTGCCGATCGAGCGAATTTGCCGTTTATGGAAGAAGTTAACGGTCAGAACAACCCTAAGTGATATCGGATAACATTCACTTGTGACAAGAAATGCTGTTAGATTTTTCGAATATAGAACAGTTATAACAAACATTATTATTAACAGCATTTCTCGTAGGCGATGCGGTTATGCGATATGACACCGATACTTTACACAGCTAGTTGATTCATTGGTGTCACACTATTTTATCTGAAATTACACACGGCACAAACATTTTGCAACAAGATCAAGGATTGGACCGATGCAACTAACCCTTATCTACTGCAGAATAATCAGTATGATACGCTGAGGTACGGCAGCGAGAGATAGTTAAGATGTATTTATGATTGACGTTTTACTTTCAGTATGGAGTTGGCACCAATTACGTCATGAAACAGAGATATAGGTTTCTCCATATTCATGATGTTGGGTCTTGTCTGGATTAGGAGCATCTCAGCAATCAAATGCCGTTTGTAGTTCCTAACCGCTGTTACTATGGGTGGGCAATTAAAATCGATGCCATGTCCTGTAACAATATGGTGGAGGACTGTTGGCAGACTTTTTCCATCAGTCACTCTTCTTCGATCGTTGAACTAATTATGGTGGCTACTCTTTTATGCTTTTTCGTCTTAGTTCTTGGTTGCCTGGAAGCTTGACGAATGTACGATTGCTGAAATTCTCAGCAATTTATTCAGTTAATTGCATCGGTCTTTTCTTTCTTAGTCTTGTCGTTAGTTTTCGTTAAGCGAGATCTTAATTTGAAGACTGTCCTGATGCTTGCTTTTGCCAACACGCATCTGATCTGTTCTAGAACATAAGGAATGAAGACCGTCG